TATTCTAGAGAGATTTAAGAGTTTATTACTTGGTGGCTAAGTCACTTTTCCCTATAAATAGAGGGGTTCTATTATATTGTAATTGATCCAAAATCAATAACAATTCTGTCTCTCTACTTTTCTGTGCAATAGTCTTATTCTTTTACTAGTAAATTTGTTCGCATTTTGTGCGGTAAAATTAATTCCTTTTATAAATAATTGAATTAAGATAATGCTATTAAAACAATTATTTTATTATAAAAAATATTTTTATCTAATAAACAATTAAGTCAAAAAATATTCTTGGTCTACTTCTTTGTCTCAAAATTCTACATATTTCTAGTTAAAAAGAACACTTATAGACACTCAAATATAACCCTCTCATCTCAATTTTGTTACTAAGATTTCTAGTAAATATTTTTAAAAGATTATATTTTCACGCTTTTATATATTTTATAAAGGACAAGCAAAAACAAAAAAAACTTTTCATTTCATCATATTCTCATTACCTCCTTGATATTTTTTAAAAAATTTTATTCCTTCTTTTATTATTTTTTCCCTTTATCGACCCTTCCTTTCCTTATATTTTTTTTGTATTTTTCCATCTTGATAATTTTCTGTCATGTAATCCTACCACTTCCTTATGCATATTCATTCAAACTACTACTTATAGTCTCACCTTTCCTCGCTCTCTTTTCCTTTTCTTTACCTTTTCTAATCTTCTTATTTTATTCTTTTTCTTTTCTCTATTATATTCATGTTTTTCTATTCTTCTGTAAATTAGACACTACCATTATCCTTCCCTAAATTAATCAACTCAATTCTCATTTTACTTTTATTGATATTACGAAAAATTATAAAACTCGGCTTTTTCCCTCTTGATCAAGTTTTCCCCATAATGTTCATGATTTATGTGATATACTAAGAGATTCAATAGTCACTTCTTCGTTAATCTTATTTATAATTCTCCATCTTCCTCTTATTTCACTGACATCTCTTTTTAATTTATGAAAATCACATGCCAATAAAATGCATAATTGAATGCCCGAATATTTCTTAAGTGTTATTTTCTTTTATTTTTTTCTTCTTTTCTTTTCTTTCTCATATTCAAACCCTCAGGCAAATGAGAAATCGTTATCCTTTCTTGAATAATCAAATTAATTACTCTTTTCCCCTACTAATCTTATAAAAATTTCAAAAATCAATATCTCTTGATTAATCAGATGGCATTACAACACACCTATCTTCTAAATTAATAGAGAGAAGTCAAGAAAAATACGGCTTAAGAGAACATAATTGTAAACCACACCGAGAAGCGTAATAGACTTGAAAAATTGGCGAGATAATCTCTTTAAAACTGTCAAAAGGCCACCAAAATGTACCAGAAAATAATCTTATTGTCATTTACTTTGAGCATGTAATCATACTTTCTTAATTCTTTCTAAAATAATGAAGAAATAATCAAATTCAATGTACAATTTATTACAATTACTCCTAATTTTTATTTTTATTTTTTTAAAAAGAGCATTTTAATGCAAGACAAAAAGGCAAAGTTATTACCCACTACATATAAATTCACACTATTAATTATAATCCTGCAACATACTAAAAGAGTAGCAAAGTGTGTGTGGGTATGTATATATATATATATATATATATATCGTGTTTGAACAAATAACTGTGACAAAAACACCAACAATAAGAAAAAAAAGTCAAAAAAAAAAATTATGTACAAAGAATTTCTAATGAAAAAGAGAAGAATGGTCAATGAAGAAAAGAGAAAGTGACAAAAAAGAGAAGATGTGCTTTAGTATTTATAGTAAAAAAAAAATACAAGTAGTAACTTATATTGAGTAATAGGAAAAGAAAGTTATGAAGTCAACATGTAACTGATGCAATTTTTTCTTTTCTTTCGCATTTCTTCCTCCTTTTATCTGCCTTTTCTCTTTTTATTTTTATTTTTATTTTTCCATTCACTTTTTTCCTTTTTTTATTAGATCCCATCTATCATCCAATTTAACGTAACAAATGCTTTTGTTACTCCAGTTAATTATCATTCTGAATTCTGAATCTTTTTCGAAATATATTTAAGACTACCTTGAAATCCAAGAAAATCATATAGTAATAGATATAGGAGCAGTTCTAAGCTTGAAACACGAAAACAACAAAAGAGAAAAGCAGCATAGCCCACAAGACAAAATTACAAATAAATATGAGAAAGAGACATAAGAACATATGACATACCACCTTGCTCAAGAATTCATTCATGACCAGAAAGCTTTGCCTCATGCAAACATTCATGTATCTTCAATGAGAAAGCAACTAAATCGACGGAAAAATCTTTAATTTCTGCTTACATAATTTAATTAAAAAGAAGAACTCTATTAAGAAAATTTACCAACTTGTTATGTATATTCTTGCCCACAACATTTAGTAGTCTTAATTTATTTGTGTGAAGAAATAATTTTTTTCGAGTTTTATAGTGTTAAACAACCAAATGAAAGGGAAAAATAAAGTATAAAAACCAAAAAAAGAAAAAAAGAAAGACAATACGGATATTGACCAGACAAAGGTGACACTAAACATATGACGGAACCTGATCCATTATCGTTGCATCTCACGTATATGAACCATACTACTGAAATTGGTTAAAAAAGAGTGACTTGCATAAATTAAACTACAACCATTCAGAGTAATACCACAAAAACAAACTCTATAGATGCTCTGAAATAAAAGTTAAACATCTTACCCACATTTTTAAACTAAGAGTAACTCTTTGTTTGACTCAAAAGAGGTTAAATTCTTTTTGGATAAATCAATCAAAGATGAAGGGGTAAATCGTAGTTGAAGATAATAAACTCTAGGATGATAATAATAGAGAGAAGAGAGTTGTCAATTTCTTTTTATTCAAGGCTCGTAAGTATTGTCCCCTTCCTCTTTCTTACAAGGCTTTCAACCCTTTTATATACTGAAAAGTTTTTTTCCAAACGCGGGAACGACAAGTAAAGAATTATCTAAGGAATATTCTCTAGGTCTCCTAATGGGCTGATTCTACTGCCGAGGTCGTATCTCTCTGGGCGTCGACTCGCAGGTACTCGATCGTTTGTCGTTCTCACTGTTGGTCGTGGTCGATCAAATACGGACCCATACAGTTAGTCCCTCCGCTCGTCGAGGATGCGACCGAGTGCGTCTTCGATCAGCGGACTCTGTCTTTCTTGGGAGGAATTTGACCCGTTGGGACGTTATGATGCGGCCAACGAGAGGTGGCTATCATGTTCAGCGGAGCACCGAAGAGTACATGCCACCCGGGGGTGATGTCAGCTTTACGTGCGTCATTATTACGTGGATTTTCGAGGTAGGGACTGATGGTTTGGTGCTTTAATTCTTGCGTTGATTTGAAGCCTGTCGCCATACAACCTTATAAATAGATGAAAGGTTCGATTTTTGAAAAACTTTAGCCACTCCCTTTGGATAACCTCTCAGTCTTCTTCATTTGCTCTTACACCTTCTTGTTCTCGCTTCCATTCCTTGCCGGAAATTTCTTATTTTTCACTCCTTTTGTGTTGCTACTCCTTTACACGAAACTATGCCAAGGTCTCGTTGAGCTAATGAAGAGGTTCCTGAAGCCCCCCGTCAACCACAACGCCTCTTTCCGGCAGCGGAGAGGTAGAGGTAGAAGAGGGCGATAGCCCTCTTACGGTGAAGGTGTTACTACCGAGGTATCCCCTATCCCGGAGTGATTTCCTCAAAGATCCGCCCCTTACTCCGAACCCCGTACTTTCTGAGACGAAGCAGGTTCACCTTGATGAGTGATGAAAGTCGTCTTTTCTTGATCCTCTTCAGCCATTAGAATTTGGTTGTAACCAGAGTAGGCATCCAAGAAACTCAACAATTCGTGCCCCGCTGTCGCATCGATCAGTTGGTCGATATGGGGTAACGGGAAGGAGTCTTTTGGGCATTCTTTGTTTAGATCGGTGAAGTCCACACGCATTCGCCATTTCCCATTCTTCTTTTTGACCATGACCACATTGGCGACCCATTGGGGGTATTTCGATTCTCTGATGGAACCGTTGGCGAGTAATTTATCCACCTCTTCGCTGACCGCCTCATTGATTGCGGCATTGAACTTTCTCCTCATTTGTCGTACCGGCAGATAGAGTGGATCGACATTCAGTCTATGAGTGGCGATGTCCTTTGGGATTCCTAGCATATCTGAGTGGGAGAAGGCAAATAAATTGGCGTTGTTAGTTAAAAATTCACGATACTTACCTGGCTCCGAGAGGTTGTGCCCTACGTAAGCCTTTTTATGTTGTTAACGTCATCCAATTGGATGGGGTCAAGATCCTCTATAGTTGCCTTGCAGGCTTCTACGATATCCGGGTCTTTGATGGCCTCTGTTTATGGGTCGGGTTTGCTTCCCGACATGGCTGATTGCTATGCCTCCGCACTTGCTCCTTTCAGTTGTTTGGTGTGCGTGCAATCTTGGGCGATCTGATAGCATTCTTGCACGGTGCGTGGCTCACCTCGGATGCTGAATATTCCCCGGGGGTGGAAAATTTGATTACTTGATAAAAGCTTGAGGGAACGGCCCGCATGGCGTGTATCCATGGTCGCCCTATGATGGCGTTGTAGGCTGTTTCCTGGTTCATGACGTGAAATGTTGTCTCCAGGGTGACCCCTCCCGCTAGTACAATTAGCACTATTTCTCTGGAAGTCCGTTCTACTGCATTGTTAAAACCGTTAGTGTTATGCAATGTGGTATTATTTTTATCATCGAGCCTCATTTGCATGAGAACTCTCGGGTGAACAATACACGTGCCGCTTCCATCATCTACCATGATTCTTTTTACATCTGTATCAGCGATGCATAAAGTTATAACCAAAGCATCATAGTGAGGGAAAGACAAACCGTCGGCATCTGACTTATCGAAGATGATACTGTCTTCGAGGTCATCATACCGTTCGTGGGCGACCGTCCGTTTGAGTTTATGCGTGGTGGTAAACTTCACATGGTTGATTACCGTGTCGTCACAACCGCCGATGATCATCTGTATGGTGCGTGCTGGCGACGGTGGTTTTGGAGGTCCTTGAGATGGGTCACGTCCTCGGGCGAAGTTGGCTCTTCCCATGTCGCTCAACAGTTCTTTCAGATACCCCTGGTTCAGCATCCTGACTACTTCTTGTCGTAGACCTATGCAATCCTCGGTATTATGTCCTCTTTCTTGGTAGAATTCGCATAGGACGTTGGACCTCCTGGTGCTTGGGTCCGATTTCATTTTTTGCGGCCATTGTACCTTCGTGCCCAGCTTCTCCAGTGCGTACACTATCTCTGAAGGGGAAACACAAAATTATGAGTAGATAGTAGTGGAGGCATACCTCTTTTATTTCAGAGGGGTGCAGTGTGCCGTGGTAAGGCTTCCGCGTGTCGGGGAGGGGGCGCGTTGGATGTTCAGATGTAGGGCTGATGCCTTTCTCGGTTGAAGCGTGGTGGTTGATCTCTTCGCCCGTCATTACGTCGATCTCTCCTTGTCTTGGTTTGGACCGGCGTTAATCGCTGAAGTGGCCCGTTCAGGTCATCCTCATCTGCCCTTACCTCGGCACAGTAGGCGTTGTGAATTTCTTCCCATGTGGTAGGGGGATACTTCATGAGTCTGCTGAGCAGTTTTTTGGTCGCTTTTGATCTGCTCCTGTTTAACCCATTTTGAAAGGTTGGTACTACCATCCCTTCTGACACGTTTGGTAGGCTCATCCTTACTCTATTGAATCGGGCCAGGAAATCCTGAAGTCCCTCACCTGTCGTTTGTCTGACGACGAAGATATCATTGACCCTAGCTTCAGCCTTCTTCGTCCCTGCATGAGCGGTGGCGAATTTGTCCGCCATCTCCTCGAACGTCGATATCGATCATGCTGGTAGCTAGGAGTACCATGTCAATGCTCCCCCTGTCAAGGTTTCTTCGAACTTTTTTAGCAGCACAGATGGCACCTGTTCTTTTGATAGATCGTTGCCCTTTACCGCAGTAACATAATGAATTAGATGATCCTCGGGGTCCGTGGTCCCGTCATATATTTTCAAGTATGGCGGCATCTTGAAGGTTTTTGGGATAGGATGAGGAGCATCCCTTTCGTTGTATGGCTGTTCGACGAATCGACCCACATCGCATTTTGGTAATAACTTAGGGGTGCCTGGTATTTTGTCAACCCTCTCCTGATGCTCCTTCATTTGATCACGGAGTGTTTTGTTCTCGTTTTCCATCTCTTCCATTTTCTTTAAGATAGCCATGGGTGCATCGTCACCTGCATTCGCGACAGTGCGAGTGTTACCTGTTCGTGTAGCGTTCAGCTCATTGGTGGTAGCTGCGATTTCTGTAGGCGGTAAGTTTTCGACATCTCTTTGAGGGGGTTTTTCGAGCATGTTGCTCAGAGCACTTGTCAATCATTCTTCTAGCAGTTTTTGGCTGCTGGTGGTGCTTCTCCCACCGTGGACGTTAAAGCTCCCCTTTCGTGTAAGACCGTTAGATCCCCGTGTGGAGAAGGTGAGATCTCCCCCTCCAGTGTAATTCTTGGTGTTGTGTTCTCAGTGTCTTCCCTACCGGCTTCGTTGAGGGAGTTCAGGAGATTGTTTGGACATCTGCTATCATCTTCAGCCTCGCTTCTTTTTCTGCCATTGTTGGTTTTTATGAGGTTTGAAGAACAGTAATCGTCACTTTCCAGAACCTAGATGAGAACTATGATTTCAGCTATGGAAATCCCCACACACGACGCCAAATTGTTTGACTCAAAAGAGGTTAAATTCTTTTGGATAAATCAATCAAAGATGAAGGGGTAAATCGTAGCTAAAGATAATAAACTCTAGGATGATAATAATAGAGAGAAGAGAGTTGTCAATTTTCTTTTTATTCAAGGCTCGTAAGTATTGTCCCCTTCCTCTTTCTTACAAGACTTTCAACCCTTTTATATACTGAGGAGTTTTTTCCAAACGCTTGAACGACAAGTAAAGAATTATCTAAGGAATATTCTCTAGGTCTCCTAATGGGCTGATTCTACTGCCGAGGTCGTATCTCTCTGGACGTCAACTCGCAGGTACTCGGTCGTTTGTTGTGCTCACTATATGTTGTGGTCGATCAAATACGGACCCATACACTCTTTACATAATTTTCCCAAGAAGAATCAGGAAGCGCATATGAAAACAACCACACCTAAATCTCCATTCAATGTAATGGAAATGCAATCACCATATATTCATTTTCTGGAAAATCCTTAACAAGCTAGCACTGAAAATGAGAGAATGGCTTTATGTTTCACAATGAAGAAGATATTTATAATATGACACTAAATTGGTCTTCATCTATCAATGCCATTAATTTAGTCTGTTGTTATTAGTTAATTCAATAGGAAAACGGAATATTGGGGAGGAGGACAGGTTTATAACTGATGAAATAGAAATCATATGTTTAAGAGTATTTAAGATGTGTTTTTTGGGTTATTTAATATATCGCACATAAAAGGAAAAAATAGGGAGAAATGCCAAAAAATTGATAGAAATTTGGCTGCTAATTTTTTCTTTTGTAACTGAAATAAATATAATGAGATGTAGTAAATAGGATAGAGAATGATCAATTTTCAATTACTAAACAATTTAAATAAAAAGAATGAAAGGGAAAATGCAAAAAAAAGGAGAAAAAAATAAATATAATCCTTGGCCAAAGAGAGGTGTCAAGTCACCTTTTCCATATATATATATATATATATATATATACTAGTTTCTGAACACGCGTGTTGCGCGTGAATCCCATATTAATTCCTAAAAAAAATCTAAAAAGAACTACATGTTTAAAACCGTGTTTCAAGTTATAAAATAAAGCATTAAAATAAAATAATCAATAATTTAAATCGTAATCTGAATAAATTTTAAGATTGCTATGAAAAGTAGCAAAAACAGTGAATACAAAAACAAATCTCAATTAAATGGTCTAAAACGTCAATCATATGTTAACTTAATTTTCACTATAATATCGTCATAATTTTTCCTCTTATTTTATGTTTAAAATAATCTCAAATCATGAAAAGATAATAAAGACCAATCAATCATTCATTAATCTAGTACGTGAAAGTAAATAAAATCAAGTAATTAGTGTTTCCTAACATGAATGGACGATCAAAAAGTATATTACTCTCTCCATAGGAAAGTGCTCTAAAGAAAAAAAAAACGCAAAGAGATTGAAGTTACTCGGATAGAATTAAGTCAAGCTTTTAAAATTATAAAAGTGACATATATGGGATAAGTTAATGCTCGGGAGTTCTCCAAAAAAGATAAAAAATCAAAACTTGTGAGTCTTATATTTGTTATGTCACTTTCGGTGGTGACTGAATGCATCTCCATAAGTCCCGCATAAAAGTTTCATTCTTATTCAAAAATATTCAAGACCTGAAAAAACAAAGAAGATAAAAAGTTCGGAGAAGAGAATACTATTGATGAGAATAATATTATTCTATAAATAAGCACATATAAAATAAATTTTGTTGATATTAATTAGGAGACGGGAAAAAGATTAGTATTCATGATTATTAATTATTAGTATATGATATTTTTTTTATTTTGTACATGGATAGTAAAAATATTTTGAATTATGACTGCATTTATAAGTGAAGGATTGCATTTATAAGAAAATAATTGTATTAATAAATCATAAAAATCTAAAAATTCAAGCTATGAGAAATAGAAAGAGAAGATAAATTATCATATGTAAATGCCAACTTTAAAAAATTATTATACATGCATGAGACATTTAACAAATTAAATTTATTAGTAATATTTATTACCATGGCTGCTAATTTTGTAACATTCACTATATTGGTTTTTTTAATCTAATATAGTATTTATTATAATGAGTTTTTATTTTTTCTGTCCAAAAATATTGTACCAATAGTGCTTAATAGTAGGACAACAGTGTCATTCAGCTTTATAAGGAGATTTTGGTATTTCAATCTTCATTTGAGATGTTCACACTAATAATATAGCATGAGAAATATTATTATGTATATTTTGGGCCAAGTTATAATTTTCATAATTTAGGGTGAGGATTGGAGACACCTTTATACTTTGTGTTAAGCTAAAGATTTAAATAACTTAGCTAAGAAAAATAACTTGAGTGTTACCAATTGAGTTATGAATAGTCCCCATTACCCAATGAACATTACTAACCAAATATCNGGGGGAGAGTAATTTTTATCGTACTCACAAATCTAACTACTTTCTACAACTATTAACATTTTCATTTGTAAATTTTCTCAAAAGAATCTCTCAAAGTTTCTGATTGTGTGGTTAGAATAAATTAGAAGTAAGAACTATTACGTCCTTGAAAATATTGGGCTGAGTGTATTGAAAAAGAAAATTCAATGTAATTGGCTATATTAAATAGCCAATGAAGGAGGAAAGTTTATCTACCTATATTTTATTTTTGGAGTAGGACAAAAATTTGACCGTACTAAAATAGTACACATATATCATATGCAATTCTAAAGGTTACAAAAATCATATTAATTTTGATGTGTTAATTAAAATATTTCTTTTCTTTGTATGAATATAAGTACATAATTTGCATAACCTATCATGGTCATGAATTTCATATCCTATTATGAAATTTCGTATTATGAATTTCATTGAATTATGAATTATGAATTTCATAAATACATAAGTACATAATTTCGTATTTCATATTTCGTATCTTGTTGTTATTTTTATTACGCATTTTTATGGTACTAATATATCATCTCCTATTGCTTTTTTGAGCCGAGGGTCTCCTGGAAACAGCCTCTCTACCCTTCGGGGTAGGGGTAAGGTCTGCGTACATATTACCCTCCCCAGATCCCACTTGTGGAATTATACTGGGTCGTTGTTGTTGTATCATGGTCATGAATATCACTAAATGAATGATTGCTAAATTAGCAACAACACGTCAGTCAATGAAATGAGTTTCCAACTCACTGGAAAGAAATAATAAATTAAGTGTAAGTTAAACAAAATTGCAGCTATTTTGATGTAATAAGCAAAAAAAGATAAAAAAAATCAAGAATTCAAGAAATCGTTAGAATCCCAAGTAGCAAATTAAAATTAACTGCATAAACCAATTAACAAAATACTCAATTTACATTAACCATGACAACCTCCCAATGCCAGTTCGTAAAATTTTATTATTATCAATCACAAAAGACCCACTAAGAATTCACACACACAAAATATATATATATATAGGGCAAAGAGCACCTAAAGCATGCTGAATAAACAAAGGGAAACATTATCGGATTCGGACCACAAAATAGGGAAAGCTGAAAATGGTGGAATATGATATATAATATTCTGAAGAATTTGAACCGTTTGTTTGTAATAAGTATTGGAAGATGAAAGCAACAGATATTGAATATACGGAAAATTTTAATTTGTGTCTCATACAACTGACACTAGTTGTATGAGATAACTTTTTTGTTTCACACTTTTGTGGACCTAGATTTTTATGGACCTAAATTTCTGTGGACCCAGAAGTATAAGATATATTTCACAAAATTATGAGATAAAAAGAAATCTCATACAACTAGTGTAAGCTGTCTGAGACACAAAATAAAACTTGTCTGAATATACTGCATTAAGTTCTTGGGTAATACACGAAACTCCACGCCAAGTCTCTTCCCATTCACCTGATTTATTGTAGTACAACCTTATTATTTATTGAAAAGTAATTTTACTTTTTGCTACAAATAATATATTATAGATGTGGTGTTTAACTAAAGGATAAAATGGTCATCTAATTATATTGGGCATTTTGATAATCTAACCCTACACTTTGGGCTTTATATTTATAATATAATATATATATATATATATATATATATATATATAAATTGTTTCATAATAGCCTGAAATTAATTGTATATTTTCATTATTTCCAATATATTCATTTTCTTTTTCAAAAGAAAAAAAACAACAAAAAAACAAAGTGCATTCACTATTCAGTCCAAGCTGTTCAAAAATAGTTCAGTTTCAAAAATACGAAAACACTGGTTCCAGCATAAGTATAAGTATGCTTGAACTCTAACATATTATACTGAAGTTACCGGATAAGTATGCTACAAGTCCAGAATAATATGATAGAGCCTGCAGCGAGTACACGTGCTCCAAGTATAGTAGAGACAGCTACACGGAACTTCACTATATTATGCTCTATCGCTCTCTATTCCATCAACAACCACAGCTAAAGTTTCAGAGAAAAAACTCAACAGCAGCAATGAAATCCGCAGCAATTTCCAGCACAGATTTCAGAAGTTTCTCGAATCTTCCATCAGGCCAAACTCCAAACTTAGCTCACCGGCGCGTAGCCGAGCGGCTCCTTTTACTGCCGAAGCCAGGCGCTTCACTCCCGAAAAAAGTAGGTAGCAGTAGTAATGCCAGAAGTAAAACATCTGTTTGCTACACAATCTCCGCTAGTTATGGAGATAAGGAATCGGATTCAGTTAGTTCGAATGAGTATACTTCTCCAGCGAAAGCACTCCGGAAACTTCTAGAATCGCCGGGAATTCATCAAGGCCCTGCTTGTTTTGATGCTCTCAGTGCTAAGCTTGTTGAGAGAGCCGGCTTTGATTTCTGCTTTACAACTGGTATGTCTTTTTAAAAAATATATTTTTTACTATGTTTAAATCATTTTATGTTTTTACTTATTTGGTTGTCTCGATTTAATTTCTCATTTGAGGAGTATCACTTAATGGAATGCGCTCCAGTCTCAAACTATTTGGTATCAGCTATAAAAATCTCTAGTTAATTCAGAGGATTCATGGTAATTTGACTATTTTTAAGCTAGTTGTTGCCGTATTGCAATGGTTCAACTTTATTCGGGCTTGGGAGTAGCTTATACTTGTGGAGCTCTCATCAGGGGAATTCTGATGAGAAAACTTTGATAAAAATGAAGAATGAGCATCATTGATTGTTGAGGGAGTTCTTCAATTTAGGATTTCTGATTATTTTGACATGCATTGGTATTAGTTTGATTATTGGAAATGATGTTGAGAGTTTCATTTGCTTGGGAAATTCTCGAGACCAGTGTGATCAGCTAAATTTAGAGTGCTGGGTATATTAAGGTGTAAAAGACAATTTGGATTGTCACCATCTCTGAACTTGACAAAAGCAGGATAAAGTTGCAGGTTTGTTCTATGTGAAGCTGAAGATGACAAAGGAGGAGATGTCATGTTGTGTCAGATGGGATACTTCTGATCTCGTTTGCATGGAAATCCTAAAAGTAATGGATTTGATGTTATCAGCCTATTGTATGTGCTGGAAATGTTGATGTTAAAATGACTCTCTTGTTCGGACCACTATGAAAATATTATTAGGGATATTGAAGACAATAGATAGAGACATTAGCCTCTTGGCTGCAGAGTGATTTTCTGATATCTTTCAGGAGTTGATATGAATTTCTTATGATAGTGACGAGCCAATACCAAGGGAAAGTCAGAACCTTGCTTCAAAATTCGTCCTCCCTATTGAATTTCATGAAAAATTTTGTGGCATATTTTCTTTATCTATATGGGAACTTATTTTTAATTTGTTTATTTTGATGGAAGTTTCTCCAGTAAGGAAGAGCTCAAACTACTTGTCAATGCTCAAGCAACTTATGGCTAGTTTGACAAAAAATACCAAAAATGCTCAAGCAACTCATATAAAAAATTTTATGGTGATGCAGGGTGTGAAAAGAGCAGCTTCCTTGCTAAACTGTCCATTCTTTCTTCTCTGTCTAAAAACTACCTCTCTCATGCGAAAATAAAATGCCCAAGCCCATATAACTGGATCTTGTCGTGAAACAAAAGTTTTTTTCTTTTAATTAGCTAGTAAAATATGAAGTCAGGAGATAAGCCTAGAGTGAGACTTTTTTGCTCTTAAGTTAATTGTGGAATTAAAAGAATTTTTAAGCATCTTTTGTAGTTCTTGCTAGGTTTATGCATACTACCTGGTTAATGGCTTCATAGTGTTGCTAGTTTGTCCATCCAATACCTCGGAATCTCAGCTCCAACCATTCTGCTATTGGGGCAGCTCGTAGAGGCGTTGAGGTGTGTCTAGTCTCTACAGACTGTAGGTACTGGAAATTAACTAAAGTGCGGTATTAGAAGATTCACTACATTAGTGTTTGAATCTTCTTCTTTAACTAAGCATGGATTTATTGTGAGTTGGCAAAATACTTACAATATGTTCTTTCTTAGCTAATATCTGTAAAACATCTGTCAGGTTTTGGAATATCTGCCACACGATTAGGAGTGCCAGATACAGGACTAATTTCTTATGGAGAGATGGTGGCTCAAGGTCAAGAGATCACACAAGCAGTGTCCATACCAGTAATTGGAGATGGAGATAATGGATATGGTAACGCCATGAATGTCAAGAGAACTGTGAAAGGATATATTAGAGCAGGTTTTGGAGGAATAATCCTCGAAGATCAGGTTTGTGTCGGTCTAGGTTTTTTATCCTCTACTTTTTGCCTTAGTATTCTTGTTTCATTTCACAACTCTTTATGATTTTTTCTATTTCCTCCTCTTGAAATGGTGTTGACAGAAGTTCATTTTCCTCCTCAATTAATCTGTAAATGCTGTCTCTTTTGAAGGCTGGACTCCATTTTTCCTCTTCTCCATGAAAGTTCTTGTAGAAATTGACAAGGTCCTTGATTTCCACTGGGTTGTCAATGGAAGTGCCATTTAAATTTCAGCTTGTCTATTTGGTTGTATCTCTTATGTGCATTTTCCATTTTGTGAGAGACTTCGTGTTCATGTCTCCCTCCTTTTTCCATAAAATCTGAACTTCTGACTCCAAGAAATTTCTACTGCTTAGGCAATTTTTTGGAATTCCATGAGAGAGAGAGATCGACTCAGCATGCTTAGCTTCACGTAATGGTCTTGTTTCTTTACACTTTGATTTGAGAGGGGGTAGTAGAAAGGAACCTGAAATTTCAGAATTTTCCTTTGTCGTGTATGCTTTGCAAGGAACATTGTGTCTTCTACTGGACACACTTATTTAGTTGAATCAGAAAGCAAATGAGTTCAAACTTCCTCCTTCCCCATCTTTTATTCAATCCAAACAACAGAAGATATGTATATATTTCACACCCTCCACCATTGCCATTTCCTCTTTCTGCCGTACCTCTTGCTGAATCTTTTTGGTTATTGAGTTAGTATCATGAATAAGTTTTCATCCTCTTCCTTTCTTTTTTCTCTCTCTTACCATTCATGTAAATAACAGTTGTACATTCTTATTTAGAAATGTCCAGTAATCAAGTCAAAGAAGTCAATCGACTTTAGATAACTGGGTTATAGATATTAAATATACTGATTTTCATGGGCTTATCTCCAAAGATTTCAAATGAGTCATCTCACAAACTGCAATATTTTGGATTTTGATTATAAATCTATGCTAGCGCTCCAGGATGTAAATGTTTTAGGTTTCATAGTACAGATTATAATTTATAAGACCTATATAGACAAAAACTACTGTAGCATAGAACGACCTTCTTGCCAAACTTAATGTTACTGTGGTTGACTTTTAGCTGTTGTACATGCTATTAGAGATGGCCACTTTCCCTTGTTTAGGACTCAAATTAAGGAGAAGCATTTAGCTTAACATGTCAATAGATTTTTAGTCTTTAATAGTTTGTTTTGCAACACAGTTTTGGTCAACAAATGGAGGTCTGGCTGCATCTCTTTAGTAGTATTTATCGTCATGTCACATATGGCTAACTGTCATGGCTTCAATTTAAGGGGTGTTTGACTTATTTTTAGTTCTTTTTCTTTATTTAGGCAGAACTTTCTGAGCAATGAGCAGAATTGCAATTTACTGGATTGTAGTTATAACATTCAAACTTCATGTGTTATACTTCTCCCGGCTTTATCTAATACTTTTATTCGTCCAAAAAGTTGTACTTTCTCCCTGCTTTGTGTATTTTTGGCTTAATTAATACTTATGTCAAAAGTTAAATTTACAGCATATAGCTGAAAGCCTGTAAATTCGTGCTTTTTGTGAATCCCCGTTTCCCACCTCAACCTTGTTTTTGGACCTAATCGTGTATGATGCTGTTTCTGTAGGTTTCTCCCAAAGCATGCGGTCATACACGTGGCAGGAAGGTCGTCTCTAGAGAGGAAGCAATAATGAGAATAAAAGCGGCTGTTGATGCTCGAAAGGGAAGTGGATCTGACATTGTGATTGTGGCACGTACTGATTCTCGTCAAGCAGTCTCTTTTGAGGAAGCACTTTGGCGGGCACGTGCTCTTGCTGATGCTGGAGCTGATGTTCTGTTCATTGATGCTCTTGCTTCCGTAGAAGAGATGAAAGCTTTCTGTGATGTCTATCCGCTGGTTCCGAAGATGGTATGCCTTCTTTCCCAGATTTTGCATTGGGTAGCATGTTTATATTGTTCTAATATAGAAGGTTCCACTGTAAGATGTCTATTCTACTTGGTGGTGTCCGTATGCCTGTCTCAGAATGAAGTAGTTGTGATCAATCTTTCTCATGGTCAGGGCTTTGAGTCTTGTTATACTGGAGGAACTTCCAATCCATTTGGTTCAAACATTTCTGATAAGGCTTATACAATTGCATCCAGGCAAATATGCTTGAAGGTGGTGGTAAAACGCCAATACTCACTCCTATTGAACTTGAGGAACTTGGATACAAAATTGTGGCATATCCACTTTCCTTGATGGGGGTATCAATATGTGCAATGCAGGTTAGATTTTGTACTTCATATTATCTTTTCTTACAGCATTTTTGCTTATTCATTCAGGTTTTACAGTTAGGTGCATCCTGGAGCATACACATAAAAACAATACACTTGCGCTATAGATCAAACCAACCCAGAATTTCCTTTTCCACCCTCAAAGCAAGTATGATGGTGGCCCCATGAGAATAACTTCTGAGGACGGAAATCACTTACCACCAAACTGCCCCTTCTGCTTCCCTACTTGAGGAATATGTTTTCTTCTTTCTTTTTCACTTTTTTTTTTTTTAATTTAGATTTAGTCATCTCAAGTTTCTTATACTGTGAGAAGTTGCACTTTTTGGACAATGTGGAGCAAGCATTGAGAACTATGCAGTGAGAGGCTATAAAGCTATAGTAAATGTTTATGTAGTTTGTGGTTTAGAGTGTTGAGCAAACAATCAAAATACCCTTTCCCGATTTCTCTACCGCGGAAGAAGTATTTAGGCAATATGCGAAGAAATGGCTTTCTCTAGAGATCTCTTTATATAGACAACAAGATGCATTTAGCTTGCTGTTCTTCCATTAAATCAAGCATATCCTTCTGAGGCTTGGAAGGGCTTCACTGAGTAAGTCATTGGTTTTCTTTATATTGTTTCTAATTCTTTTTTTTTCATCCTGCAATTTCTCCTGGATGTCGATAAAACAAAACTTGAAACAAAAATAGCTGCATTTCTCCCAGCACAATTAGCTTTTAAGTGGAAAAAATTAATCCTTTGCCAACGACTGGCTTGAGTTATAGACTCCATGACAGCTGACCTAGAAAAATTTCTGCTGCACGACAGTTTAAAAAAAGGAGTTGCTCTGTTAATTAGTTACTGACATCTTCAGGATGCACTGTCTGCCATTAAAGGAGGTCGGATACCTTCACCTGGAAGCATGCCTTCATTTGAAGAGCTAAAAGAAATCCTAGGTTTCAATACCTACTATGAAGAAGAGAAGTGTTATGCAACAACAAACAGCCAACTTCCTTCTCTGAAAGGTGAGCAAAGTTGTCAAATAGGCTAAGTATTTGAAAAGTCAATTTGGATTCAGGTCTTGTGCAGATCCTTTTAGTACTGATCCGAAGACATTCATTACCTCGTTTCCACATTTAAATATCAGGTGATTTCTCATCAAGAAGCAACGAGTATGGTGTTCAACCTGGCATCCCAGCTGATACAGAACAGAGGGGTCAAATACCACAGAACCCTGTTGAGGTACTGATTCCTGAGGTATATGACAAATTTTNAGTATCAGCAAATGTAATAATAAAATGGATTATTAGTTTGGCTATAGAATCTTGACGCGCTTTATGACTGTAGCAGGTTAGAGTGGTTCTCTTTGGTAGGCCAATAAATAAAGAAAATTCTTTAAGTATAAGGGATGCCATTTCATCTACATTATAATCTATGTGTAAAGACTCCTTGCCTTTGATATCAAATATGGTGTGAAAAGAATTTTTTGCAAGTAAATATGTCCAAGTAGTTTTGGATTCCAGGTTTTACTGCAAGTATGAAGATTTTAATTTTTAAGAGACAATGATACCTTCGTTTTGAATAACTGATATTGGCGACAAACCGTGCTCCAACCATTTTNAAAATTACTGGAAGAGATGGATCCGAAAAGCTAGATATCAGAATTCCTGTAAGTTATTCTCTTATGCTAATTGTTTTTGAGAATGAGAATGATAAGGTGAGCCTTGGCGTGACCGGTAAAGTTGCTGCCATGTGACCATGATGTCACGGTCGAGCCGTGAAAACAGTCTCTTGCAGAAATACAGGGTAAGGTTGCGTACAATAGACCTTTGTGGTCCGGCCCTTCCCCGGACCCCGCGCATAGCGGGAGCTTAGTGAACCGGGTTGTCCTTTTAATGAGAATGATATGCTTTTTTGTTTTATTTTAAGCTATTAAGTATATGAAATTAGTTAACTCAAAAGCTATTAATGTTTAAGAGAATATTTACGGTTATGATGCATGCCTAAAGGGCACACATTAGCATTAGCATAATTGATATTGTCTCAAGGTGCCAGAAAAGAAAAAGAATAAGACAATTTAACAATGACTTTTCAAGAGAGATCAGTTAGGTAAATCACTTTGAAGATTTGTTGATTTAAGCCTTGTAATGCTAACATGTCTATTCTGCCCACCGAAATTGTTCTGCTGCATGGATTCAAGCATTATACTCGAGCTTTGTGGACCAGCTAAACCGTAAGATCTGTTTTTTTTTTCCGAAGTTGCTTCAACCACCCGACTGGGTGGCAGTGANCGGGTGTTATAATCACTTGCACAAAAGCCGCTATGAGCTCCTAAGGAGTGCACTAGAGCCATTTCTTAACTAAAGAAGATCGAACTCATGTGCTTTAACTTAGGAACCTTTTCTTTGTTTCACTAATATTGTCATTCTTGTGGGAGGTATCTACAAGAGAACATATGAGGTACCTTTTTTATTTAACTTTATGTTTGTGTTCTCCTCAGCATTATGTGGTTTCTTAAGGTTCATCTATATACATGATCAATTGTGGAGCATGGAAGCTTATAGTCATTATTTGTTGCATCAAGATCAATGGTTTTCTAAAATTTTGACCACTTATCTCATTTCCTCAGGCTGGATTTTTGGAAGGAATCACAAACATAGTTCCAGGTATGTTTAATTGGTTGGCAATGCTGTTTGAAAGCCAATCATTTATGAAAGTATTGCTGAAAAGTTTAGCATGTATTTTTTCTACGCAGCATTGGTAGGTGTAAACATCAAGGCTCTGTTGGATGATGCAACTTTAGAAGAGGGAGGGAAACAGTTGTTGGATTTTCAGGATACAATGGGGGACAGAATTCAGGTTTTTTTGGAGTAATGGATCTTTTGTTTTTCAACAAAATGCATTTTGATAAATAAATCTTGGACAATCAAAAATAATTTGGTGATTTTATGTATATCCCTAGTTTAGCTTGTACGAGCTCCCATATATTTGTTTCACCTAAAAGAAGTGAAAGGTCAAAGGAGGAAAGGTGGTGTCGTATCAGTGACGAAGCTGAATCCTATATCTCAAGTGTCTTGATTTGTTGACTCAATGTGATCAAAGACTGATGTATGGTAACAAACAAATACGTTGGGTGTAGATACATAACAATTGTACGACTATTTTACTCACCTTGTCACATCCCATGATTGGAAGAGAAATGAACGAATTTTTCTTCGTTATTCCGTTTAAATTCAAAGTTATTCAACTTGGGTATAGATAGTGAAGGCAAGGAAAGTAGAAAAGACAAATATAAAAATAGAACTTTCTGTTTAGATATGTACTCTCCCATTTCCTTTATAATCGAAACAAACCAATTACAATAGCTTCTGGGGAGAATTACATATCCTTTTTTTTTGGTAGAAATACGAATTTATTATTCATTAACTAATTCTATTACATAAAGCAAGAGTCTCATTGGGCTCATTCGTAGGTACTGTACTGTTTACATTAGGATTGCAAGTTACAAAAGGGTTAAGTTCAACTAACTTAGCAAATACAGTAGTAGATACAAGCCTAGATTTAGTACAGTCAATCTTATCATCATGGACTGTTTTCAAAAGTACTTTCGGGGGTTGTTCCAAAAGAGAAAGAGGGCTATTGTTTGCTTGCTTGGATCCCTGGGTGGCTAAAAAGTGAGCAACTTTGTTTCCCTCCCTGAAGTTATGCCGGATCGACAAATTCTCCAGTTTCTTCAGTAATGACCTGCACTCAGTAATCAAGTTAGAATATATTGAACAACTATCATCTTCAAGTAGACGAAGTATATCTGTAGCATCAGTTTCAATCTCTAAATTAAACATATTTTTACATAGGCTAGTTGCAGCCCAGTCTTGAGCGCTAAGAGCTCCATATAAGCAGTGTATAGGCAATAGTTGAGTTGTAGTAACCTAAAATCCAATTCCCATGGCTATTCCTAAAGATTCCGCCAATGTCTCCTTTCTTATGTTTACCTTTGAAGGCACCATCGATGTTGAGTTTTAAGGAGAAATTTGTTAGCGAGAGCCATTTTATAGAGATGGTAGTAGTTGGAGGGGTGAAGTTAGGGGAGTTAGTGCAATACTTAAATTCTTTGCAGCGCATGATAACTATGTAAGCGGTAGCTGGCTGCATTTGTTATTAAAAGAGTTGTTATTTCTATTGAGCCACAGATTCCAAATAGCAAATGGAAAGAAATCGTCCCATGAGATACCCCAATGATCCAACGCAATGTTAGAGTCTTTTAATTTCGTGAGCCAATGCTCAGAGTTTTGATGAAGGGGAAGGAAGTTGAGGTGCACATCGCTCCAAAATTTGATGGCTATGGGGCATTCGAAGAAAACATGAGTAATTCTCCTCAACCCCTTTACATATAGAGCAGGTAATGTTAATGTTAAGGCCAATTTGATGCAGATAATTTTTGGTGGGGAGCCGGTTATGTGAACATTGCCAAAGGAGATATTTTATCTTATGGAGTGTGTTTTGCTTCCAAATCCAATGGAACTTCTAGGAATTGGTAGGTGGCGTGGAGATTAGTTTATAAGTAGAGTTTGTGGAAAAGATACAGTTTGATGTATGGGCCCAAGTGGGAATATCTCTAGTGTTATTGATTGTGTCAAGATTAATGGAGAGGATTTTGTTCCTTATTTCCGTGGGCAGAATAAAGGATAGTTTTGAGAGGTCCCAATTGTACGCCGTCCAAAGATCCTTGACTTTGAGGGTGTGATCATTTTGGTTCATTGGCCCATGAATGATGGTATTTAAGGGTGGGAAACCCGGAATTTATGCGGAGGACCAACAATTAATATTTCCTGGATCAATTATCCATTGAAGACCTTAATTACAGATTTTCCAACCTATTAGAATGTTATTCCAAATGAAAGAGCGGGAGGTGGGATTTCTCTTATGGCTATATTTATTAATAAGCGTTTTGGCCCATATAGAACTAGGATTATTGAAGAGTCTCCAAGAGAGACTGGCTAGAGAGATAAGGTTTTTTTCAGCAGCTTTTCTGAGTCCCAGGCCCCCCACATGCTTTGGTTGAGTGACAGTGAACCACTTAATATATCCCTCTTTGTACAAAAAAGGCAATAATTTCAGCGTATTTTACCTTCAAAAGAGCCTTTCTCTCAACTTTATAAAGTCCAAACTCTAGCTGCCGCTGGTAACGTTCCAAAAAAGATTCATGATTTATTCAATGTTTAAATTTCACATTTCCATCAGACCAACTAGTATAGTATGATGGTTTTATAAGAAATTAGATATCAATTCACAGGAGGAGTTAATTAAACATAAATTGCTCGCGGACAACCAAAGTTGTATAAGGATACATGTAGTAGCAATGTGAGATTTAAACTATTTAATGACAGAACTATTATTTTAAAGTTTTTATGTATAACAATGATATATCCCTCTATTATTAATCAATGCTTAACAATCTCTCGTTATAATACCCCCATAATAAGTATGTGAAACAGCCTATGCCCGTATCATCATAATGTTATTCTACATTAATTTTGGGAATAAACCAATATGCCAATTGCAGCACAACTAATGTCAAGATTAATATACAATGATTAATTAGCAACAACCAAATTCCAGGATTTAACATTGGGTAACTTCCAATAAATATTCCTATAATATGATTCAAGTGTTTAATATATGTGGCTTGGTGGAATAAGCGTTTAGCTGATGAACTTCTTTCTCTAGGCTTGGTGGGATCCAAAACTGATAGTTCTCTGTTCTATATGCCGAACGCCGATGACAAGCTATTTTGTTTAATATATGTTGATGACATTTTGGTTATGGGTTCTAATTCTGCTCATATTGCAATTCTTATTGCCAAACTGCAAACTTAATTTGCTGTTAGAAATTGGGGAAATTATCTTATTTCTTGGGCATTCAAGCCAACTGGACGCATGAAGGATTACATTTGTCGCAAGGTAAGTATGTTAACGACCTTCTTAATCGTGTGAAAATGGGGTCGTGTGGTCCTGTCTCCACACCAGCTTCAACCTCATCCAAGCTCTCCACAACTGTGGGCGTCCATTCCATGATCAGACTCTCTATAGGAGTACCGTTGGAGCTTTACAATACTTGACGTTTACTAGACCCGATATAGCGTATGCGGTTAACAAAGTTTCACAGTTTATGCATTATCATTGGGTTGCTGTCAAACGTATTCTCCGTTATGTCAATGCTACTTCCTCTCATGGTTTATTTCTTTCTCATGGGTCCTCTGGCTTGCTTCATGGTTATTGTGATTCAGATTGGGGAGGTGATGTTGATGATCGCAAGTCTACCACTGGATTCGCCATTTTTCTTGGCTTTAATTTGATTTCATGGGCTTCTCGAAAGCAAAAAGTTGTATCGCGATCGAGCACAGAGGCTGAATATCGTGCATTAGCTGCTGCTACCTCTGAGATGACATGGGTTGAGCTTCTCCTCCGAGAGATTGGATG